ATCAGAAATCTTCCCTATCAGGATAGACTGAGAGCCCTGAATCTGCACTCTCTAGAAAGGCGTAGAATTAGGGGGGATATGATTGAGGTTGTACGTATAAATGGAAAACAGGAATTAATAAAGGGGATGTAAGTAGCGTGCTAAAAATATCTAACAGACAGGACTCGCAGCAATGGCTTTAGATTGGAAAAATTCAGATTCAGGAAGGATATAGGAAAGCACTTGTTTGGTAATAGAGTTGTGGATGAGTGGAACAAACTCCAGAGTACTCTCATAGACGCTAAGACGTTGTGTAGTTTTAAAAATAGGTTGGATTAATACATGAGTGGGTGTGGGTGGATGTGAGTTGGACCTGACTAGCTTGTGCTACTAGGCTGGATGCAGTGCTCCTCCCTTAAGTGACATGTCTGACCTCTCTAGGTCAAGGCATTGGCTTAAGCCGGTGGGGAAATTCGAGCTGCCTCGCATAGACCAGTAGACCTGTTGCAGTGTTCCTTCTTTCTTATGTTCTTATGAGGGCAAATATTTTATTAGTGGGATGGATTTGTGAAGGACCTGCCTAGTATGGGCCAACAGGCCTGCTGCAGTGTTCCTCCTTTCTTATGTTCTTAAGTGTAGCATACGTAACAGTATCAAAACACGATTCGCTGGTATAATATTGCTAAAACCTGGGATTGAAATCAGGCGTTCCATCAACCAGTATGTGGTGACAGTGTGCTTATACACATGTGGCATAAGCATTATTGTGGCAAAGAACAAGTACATCTCTGCCACAGTTGTATCCTTCCACTGGTGTAGCTGTGACCTTGGTGAAAGAATTGTATTTGTTATGGTGTACTCATAGTATGTGTTACTTTCCTTGACAATAATTTCCATCAAGGGTTCATCGAAGAATAACTTAAAGCATTCCAGTTCAGTGGCATTGTTCCCAAGTGTACATGATGGCCGTATTCCGCTTTGTGTTTCATCATAGTCATGGGGATTGGGAACAAAATTGCCAACTTGCTGCCAATCCCAGATGCGGTCTGCTGGTGGGTTCTGGATATTGAAAGGTGGTTGTGGTTGTGGAAGTTGTGGTTGTGCAGGTTGTAGGAGTGTGGGGGTGGTTGAGGCTGGTTGTGGCTGTGCTGAGTTAGCAGCGTGGCCCACTACTGGTGCCACAAGCCTCATGCCACCGCTAACAACACCACCACCACCACCTGCTGCCCCTCGCACATTACACATCCCCATTGTAACAATATCGTCACCTTCACTTTCAGGTTGTGGTGTGGGGCCACGGGATGTACTCCAAGATTTACTCTTTTGCTTTGGAATGGCATATGGCACACTACCAGAACACATGCTGCGTCATACATACTACTGTTTCACTGGCAAATATTCCCCCTCACTGTCGCAACTCGAGTTGCTTTCAATAACTTGGAAATCATTATCATTATCACTTTCACTGCTTACATCCGAGTCCTGTAGACTGGAAAATAGTTTCCTTTTTCTTCCTGGTACAGGTGAACGTGAATGAGATGGCCCAGCACCAGAGGTGGAAGGTTGAGGGTCATCTGGGTTTTCATCACTAATTACATTATCCTGGGCACTGCTTTCAGTCACACCCTCTTGAAAACTGTGGAATTCACTTTCACTGGCACTTCCACCAGTGTTAGAACTATCACTTGGGAACAGAAGACCTCCAGTTCAGCGAGGAGTGAGGTACTTCTTACCGCGAGGCATCGTGAACAAGTACTACCAAGATGGCATTCCCACAATGCACCACTGAGTCTCCAATTTTTTTCACAGGGTGCACACCCACCACGCAGACCCATTCTCTCACATATAGGCCTACCAGCTTTCTCCCACTTGATTTGAAGCCACTATAATTTACGCATATTAATACATCAGAAACATTGGCTCGTAAGACGTATATATACGACTGGATCAGTGAAAGGGTTAATTTGAAATTTTAGGAAAGAAATTCATTGATAGTTATGATGCTATCTATGATGAGAATAACAATTACAATAAAATGATTATGAAGTGCATGGGCAAGTCTCCTTACACCTGTTGTCCTGGTTCACCTAGAAGGAAATAGTTACCTAGAACTGAAGTTGGAGGTTGTGGATTGCATCTTAAGAAAGAGAATTTAAGATGTCTAACAAAAGTAAGGCACTCTGCTTGGCTTTCTTTGACTGTCCTGGACTAATAACCCTCTGTGATTTAAATTAATGAATAAGAATGAATAGTATATCCTCTAAATTATACAGGTACCATCCGACTTACGACCGAGCTTGGTTCCAACCAACCGGTCGTAAGTTGAAATGGACGTAAGTCGAACCTTACTACTGAATATCAATATCACATTTTTGTAATGACTTTATTTTATTGTTTTATTTTGGTATTTCATTTTTTACTTTACTTTTTATGCTGTTAGTATTGTATTTTATACTGTAAGGTTTAGGATAAACACTGTGTACAACACAAACAGTTATTTATTTCCCAGAAATTTGGCATAAAAAACACGGTTGTAAGTTGAGTGGTTGTATGTCGAGCAGGTCGTAAGTCGGATGGTAGGTGTACTTGCATTTCATTACAATTTATTTAAATACAGGAGAGTCCATTGTGTTATTCGACAGACCTCTGTCCAGTGGCACATAAAGTAAAAATATTATGACGTTTAAAAAATTGGAATTCATTCTGAGACTTTGTAAATGCCACATTCCTTGACTATTGTTTACCAAAAAAAAAAAAATGAGTGTACCACACATTTGCTTAATAGTCATCTACTAAAATCAAATGAAATTACAGTAACTCAAAAAAGCTGAGAAAAAAGAGTCAAAAAATTGAATCAGAGAGAAGGGGTAAGAAAGAGATAGGAGGATAAGAAAGGGTAAAAGGGGGATTGTAGTCTTCGAAGATAGTGGCAAGGGAGGAAGGATGAGTATGTCCATGCTATGGCCACCTGTCTTGGGCATCCTCCTGGGTTCTTGGGCAACCTTTGCACCTTACCAACCATTCTCAGTTAAACAAGTTTCAGTAGGAACCCCACTATGGGCTGGTGGAGATTTTTTTTAACACTGGCCGTCTCCCACCGAGGTATGGTGATCTGAAAAAGAAATACGTTCACCGTCATTCACACTATCACTATTTTGCCAGAAGCATACAGATACAACAGTTCAAATGTCCCTTCAAACAGAAAATATCCCCATCCTTCCTCTAGAGTGAAGACACTACTTCCCACCTCCAGGACTCTTAGGTTCGGCTAACTGGTCTCTCTGAATCCCTTCACAAGATGTTCCTTATGGAGATATCATCATAAAAAATTCCATTTCTTCTGTGGTTTGAGAGATGGCAATATCCAGGTGACAGTAGCTCCAGCTATGATGGAACAAAACCTTTGAAGCTGCTGTAGTTGCTGAACCCTTATTGGGATATTTGGCAATATCCTCAGTGCCCCACTGAAATCCCCCAGCTCAGGCTAACAGATTTCAACACTTCGTATGAGCCTTATCCTGCTTTTATTTCCTCTGTGTAACTGTTGTTTAGAATAATGAAGCAGCACAGTGCTAATATATCCAGTTTTCTTAAAAAAAAAAAGTCCTTCCCTGCTTACCAACCACAGACTTACAACACAGCATAAATAATAAATCTAGAGTTCTTGACCAATCTCTACCAAAAAATGTGGTCTGTTTATACATACTTAAAATGAACATGAATATAACATATAACAATGAAATTGTTATTAAGTGGTCCTGGTCTTAAGTGATTGACAATGAGCAAAAAGTGTATAGCAGCCACCCACTCCAATTGCATAAAAGCAAATTTTTACCCCATGTAATGAATCTATAGTAGAAATATGCTTGCCACATATAAATGAATTCACATAAAGGATATCCTCATAAAACTAAGGGAAAATTATGCAGTAAACTCTCTTATGTCATGTAAGTTATGTTCTGAAATCCATGTAAATTCATGGTTTGTAAAGCAAAGAAAAAGTAGGAATTGGGTTACATTCTTTATGCCTCAAAAAAATCCATTTTTTTTATTATTTTTTTTTTATTTCTTAATTTATCAAAAAATAATAGTTCTCATACCTTACATTGCAGTTTTCGTTGACTGTTGATTTAGAAATGTGTGGAGTGGGTTGATATGGCCCTGCATAATATCTGTACAGGCATGAGACCGGCAGTATCAGCTACTGCCACCATCAGTTATCACCACTGCCACCATCACCCTTTATCACCATCAATAAAAATAAGTCACATTTCCTTACCAAATTGTACCAGTGGTTGCTATTGCTTGTTGATTTGCAAAATAAATTTATGAAGCCTTGATATAGCAGACTAATAGGGGAGATAGTCTGAGTGTCCTTTAAATTAGAACAATGTTAAAACGTATCATAAAAACACTATTCTACTGTTTACCTAATATAGTACTATACACATAATTTATATATACTCTAAGAAAGATTGAAAATAAAGGAGCTAAAAGTACAGTTTAACCAGTAGATTTTGCCTATTATTTTAAAAGTCTATTAAATCAAGGGTAAATTTACCGTATATAGAAAAGATACAGGAAAGTATTGATTTGCCAGTAAAGTTGAGGAGTGGAACAATCTGCTAAGTAGGGTCATTGAGACTAAGACTGGGTAGCTTTAAAATAGCTTTGACAAATATATTAATGAGATGGGTTAGCTTATACCTGCCTAGCATGGGCCTTTAGGCTTGCTGCAGTACTCCTTAATTCTCGTGTTCTTATGAGTGAGAAGAATTGTATTCTAGAAGGACTTGCTTCTCTTGTGTCAGTAGGCCTACTGCACTGCTTCACCATTCTTGTGCTTTCATGTTAAGTGTGTGAAGGTGGTTGATGAATCAACATCTGGCTTTCCCCAGGCTATAGAAGTCTCTATATAGAAGAGGTTTTTGCCTTATTTTTATTAGGCAATGATATGAAGCACAGTATAGTGAACATACGACAACATGACAAAAACATTAATTAATACTGACAATTTACAGCATCAACTTCAGTCAAGATTCCTCACTACTGTGTGTCTCCAGTGATCACGGAACTGTGCATGTATTTGCTACTGAAGACGAAGACAAGAAAAACAAACAGTCAAGGTTAGTTATTCATTCTCTTTAAAAAAAATTCAGGATACAAAATGGTTTTAAATTTATTACAGAGTACTGTACTGCACTTAAAAAGCTAAGAGCCATAATTTTTTCAACAGCCTTGCATCAGCATCTTTCCTACCAAAATACTTCAGTAGCAAGTGGAGTTTCTGTAAGTTTGAAGTACCAGGTGGATCTCAGTGTATATGTGCCTTTGGTCCTACTAGCAACTGTGTCATAGGTTAGTACTGTGCAACCATACATGTAATACTTTTAATTATTTGTAGTTTTATACCTGGGAAAATTTGATGGACATCATAGACATGTTAAATGTTGAAGAGCACATGGGGGTGATGAATGTAGACATGAAGTAAGCTTATAAAAAGTTTTATTTATCTTTTATTACATTGGTTACAGCTTTAGAGTGACAAATCTAAGGATGCGTTAGGTAGCTGCCCTTCAAAGAGACTGTTTTGATGCTAGCAAAAAGCTTTTGACCTAATGAGTTATAGCTACTCTACTTCTGTGGATTAAACCTGATTATCCCCTACTCCTCAGGCACTGTATAACCCTTATAGGTTTAGTGTTTCCCCACTGTTTATGTGTAATATTTCTCAAAAATTGAAACTCGCAAGGATGAGTATGTATAGCAAAACAGGATCTTTTTGATGGAGCTTATGTAATAGAATCCTTGGAAATGTGTATCAAAACACGAGTATGCAGTAAACATAAAGAATATGACAGTGAGAATTTGCTAAAGACAACGAATCACACACAGTAAACATAAAGAATATGACAGTGAGAATTTGCTAAAGACAACGAATCACACACAAAGTGGGAGTTGTCACAGCTGCTCTTTGCTGATGACACTGTGCTCTTGGGAGATTCTGAAGAGAAGTTGCAGAGATTGGTGGATGAATTTGGTAGGGTGTGCAAAAGAAGAAAATTAAAGGTGAATACAGGAAAGAGTAAGGTTATGAGGATAACAAAAAGATTAGGTGATGAAAGATTGAATATCAGATTGGAGGGAGAGAGTATGGAGGAGGTGAACGTATTCAGATATTTGGGAGTGGACGTGTCAGCGGATGGGTCTATGAAAGATGAGGTGAATCATAGAATTGATGAGGGAAAAAGAGTGAGTGGTGCACTTAGGAGTCTGTGGAGACAAAGAACTTTGTCCTTGGAGGCAAAGAGGGGAATGTATGAGAGTATAGTTTTACCAACGCTCTTATATGGGTGTGAAGCGTGGGTGATGAATGTTGCAGCGAGGAGAAGGCTGGAGGCAGTGGAGATGTCATGTCTGAGGGCAATGTGTGGTGTGAATATAATGCAGAGAATTCGTAGTTTGGAAGTTAGGAGGAGGTGCGGGATTACCAAAACTGTTGTCCAGAGGGCTGAGGAAGGGTTGTTGAGGTGGTTCGGACATGTAGAGAGAATGGAGCGAAACAGAATGACTTCAAGAGTGTATCAGTCTGTAGTGGAAGGAAGGCGGGGTAGGGGTCGGCCTAGGAAGGGTTGGAGGGAGGGGGTAAAGGAGGTTTTGTGTGCGAGGGGCTTGGACTTCCAGCAGGCATGCGTGAGCGTGTTTGATAGGAGTGAATGGAGACAAATGGTTTTTAATACTTGACGTGCTGTTGGAGTGTGAGCAAAGTAACATTTATGAAGGGATTCAGGGAAACCGGCAGGCCGGACTTGAGTCCTGGAGATGGGAAGTACAGTGCCTGCACTCTGAAGGAGGGGTGTTAATGTTGCAGTTTAAAAACTGTAGTGTAAAGCACCCTTCTGGCAAGACAGTGATGGAGTGAATGATGGTGAAAGTTTTTCTTTTCCGGGCCACCCTGCCTTGGTGGGAATCGGCCGGTGTGATAATAAAAAAAAAAAAAAAAAGATGGTCTTTATTTATGGTAATAAAAATTGCAGCTTTCATAAAGTAGATGTAGGTAAATATTATAAATAAATCTAAATTATGAGGGGAGTGGTTAGAGGGAGGGTGTACAAGAGGTTTTGAGTTTAAGGGGCTTGAGCATCCAGCAGGCTTGTGTGACCATATCAGATAGGAGTGAATTGAAACGAGTGGTTTTTAATAGACATGCTGTTGGAGTGTAAGCAGGTGTAACTTTCATTGAGGGATTCAGAGAAATTGATTAGCTGAACTTGAGTTCTGCAGGTGAGAAGGGCAGTACGTACCTGCACTCTGAAGGAGGGGGGAGGGAGAATGTTGCAGTCAGAGGAGTAATCTGATTGTAATGTCAGCACACTTCTTGAAAGACAGCAGTTGAGTGAATGTTGGGTCACCCTGCCATGGTGGGAGATGACCATTGAATTAAAAAAAAATTCTGAGTTACTTAATGGAAATCAGAGGACTGTGGCAGTCAGAATGATGAATATCTGGCAAGGCAATGAAAACTTTACATAATTTTGTCAAATAAGTTTGTGCTAGTATTTTTTGATGTTTATATCATGAAGTGAAATCAGATATTAAATTATGTGTATACATATTCATATTTGTAGCTTTCTTTGCTTATGTGATGATATCTATTCTTGGCAGCAATATGTGCAGATGGTAGCTACTACAAGTTCAGCTTCAGTGGTAAAGGTGAGTGTAACAGGGAAGTGTATGCACACTTTCTGGAAATGACAGATGACAAAGCATAGTGCATACCACAGTATTGAACATAACTCACCATGCTATTACAAGCTGCTCTCAATGGTTCTTTAAATTGTGTAAGCAGTCATAATGTTTGAGGTTGTTGGATTTGGCTGTAGCCATTTGGTGCGCTGGTTGATGTGATAGTCCACTGTTAAATAATTTATACAACCTGTCCCTCATTCCATTTTTGGAAGATGCTGTTTCTTCTCTGTAAATATTTACCTGAATTACTGTATTGCTAACCACATTTTGAATTTATAATTCATTTCTATTAGTCTGTACTTATGAATTTATTAATTCTGATTTATATGAACCTTTAAAATATAATTATAAATCTTTTGTACTAGAAAATTTAACTATTTACTTCAATGCCTTAAAAGTTTTTCCCTAGATTTTAAGCCAGTGACTGAAAAACAAATTTTTATTTTATATAAATATCTTTTGTATGTAAACTGTGAGATATTTGGAAGTTCTTTACATAATATCCATCCAGTTTGTGAAACAAAAATGCAGAATGTCACAAGTTAGACTTTTAAGATTTTTTTCATTTACAATTTTTTTTTTCCACTGTATATATATATATATTGTAGAACAGTGTCCTAGTTAAATTGTTATTAATGTGATCAAATACTGGATTCTTGACTTAGAAAGCTTCTTGATCTGTTAATTTAATTTACTGTCATTTTAACTTTAATGAATTTTGGTAATAGTACCAAAGAAATGGGAAATGACCAGAAATTTTTAAACTAGATTCATCAGGAAAATAATTTAATATTCTTTATTTGAAATTCCTGGTTTTAATACATTACATGTAATTTTCTTTTTGATAACTGGTTGAATATAATTTACTAAAAAATTAGACTGAATTTAGTGAGAATTATTGAACAAAGAAAATGCTTTTATTATTATTATTTTATATTACGATCATATTTTCACCTGTTAAAATTAATATCAATTGAAGTTCTCATTTTATTAATATGCATTTGATATTGTTGTCTCTAGCATATGATACAGAAAGGCTATTTGGCTAGTTATTGCTCTAATTTGTTGGAGGTGTGTCATTTATGAGGTGCAACTTTCATTAAATTTTGACATTGATGTTGGCATGTTTCAGTTTCTCTGAAGACTAAAACAATTTGTAAAAACACATGAGAGGGGGGAAACATTTGGAAAATTGACTGCAAAAATCAGTTTTCAAAGCACATGATAAAATACAAGTTCAGGAGAAACACTGATTACTTGAGGCACCTGATACACATGTGATGCTCCAGGTGAAGCTCTGCTTGTTGGAAGGCATGTTTGATATTAGTGAAGCTTCCAGATTGTTATTTTGATGTTGATGTCACCACCCATTCTGCTATGAACATAAATATTTTGCTATTTGGTAGAATTGCTGATCTTTTTTTTTTTGTCCTTCTGTCCCTTAAACAAACAAGATGGCTGGTAAGCCTTACAAATTTCTGCTGATATTTAATAGTTGCTTTAACATTGAGGATGGCTGTTTTTAGACTGAACAATATTTATAACCATTAATATGTAACTAAAAAAATTATATAAAAATTGCATTAGATGGGTGTAAAAACTGCCAGCTGCCTCATCAGTTTGAACAAAATCAGGAAATTCTTTATCAACACATTGAAATCTCTGATATGTTACTTATAGCAGCTGAATCTAGGTCTAGTGAGACAATGATAACATCCAGTAGCATTTCTGTATTGTGTGTCTGGCACAACATAACCTCTGCTTCATTATTTTAAAAGTCTTTCATACCGTCACTAAACAAAAATACATTTGTATGAAGAGTTGGCTGTACCTAAATGAATGTCACAGTGCTGGATGACCCATACGGGTTTAGCGCATATTTTTTAATATAATAATAATGTATGTAAATGATGTTTGTTGCTGTCTTTACTTTATCCCATTGTAATGTCATTTTTCACTAGAAAATTTAATCGGTATAAATTTTCAAAAAGTTGAACAGTTGGTAAGGTATATAGGGTATGTTTAGCATTAATTAAATGTCTTAATAAATGTACCTAGAATAAGCTGAAAAGTTTTCTCAGAATTGAGTTTATGGCAGCATTTCTTTCCCTTCAGGACACCTCAGTAAAACTGAGGAAAAATTTTAATTATAAATAGACATATATTTTTGTTACATTTAAAAGGATATTAAAAAATCTATTTCTAATATAAAAAGTAAGGGAGAAAGAAAGAAGTGTACTTTCCTATGTACTCACTCAACTAGCTTGCTCTGCAACCTCTCAAAGTAAAATCTTGGTTTGGAAGAAAGATTTTGTTTTGAAAGTAGAATATTACTGATTTACTCTGTTGTGCAAGAGCAGTGTATTTCACTGTTTATGATGTGTATAGATAATTAAACTGGTCTTCAGCATCAAGAATTTGGTAAAGTACTGAAATGTTTGGACTCAGATTCCAGTTGCTCACACAAGTGCTTCCTGCTTAAATAACTCATTAATTTAATCTTTAAAATCATTGATATATGTTTCACCCTTGCAATATTGAGCTCAATATAAATTAACTTGTCTTGAAATTCCAAAGACTTTAAATTCTTCAGTGTATGAACTTCTTACAATATACTCTATATACAGCCAGCTTTATCTTTCTGTTACTCCTCTTCATATGTTTGGATTAATTTTATATTCAGTAGAGCAGGAAAGATTTCTATCATGCTACACTTTATTTTTTTTTTTTTATGTACCCTTCAAGGGAGGTGAACTGATGTTGGTCCAAGTAAATGTAGCTACCTTCCCTTTGAATCGAGCCTGATTACCTCTCATTCTCCATGCACTGTATGACCCTTATGGGTTCAGCATTTCCCCCTCATGATATTTCTTTTTTATTTCATTGGCTGTCTCTCACTAAGATAAGGTAGCCTCCCCCCCCCCCCTAAAAAAAAAAAAAAAACATTCTCTATCATTCATTCATTAGTTGTCTTTGCAGAAGTGCCCAAACACAATTCATTGACTTCAAAATGTAAAATCCCCACCCTACCTTCAGAGTGCAGGTACTATACTTTATCCCCCCAGGACTCAAGTCTGGCCAACCACATTCCCATAAATCTTTTTATAAATGTTACCTTGTTCACACTCCAACAGCATGTCAAATCATTAAAAACCACTTTTCTCCACTCACCCTGATCCAGCATGCTCATACATGATTGTATGTATTTTTCATGTACAGTTGAACCCCCAAATTTGCAAGATTGTGTTCTCAGAGGTTCTAGCCAATTCAGAATTCATGAATGTCACTAAATTCTGTCCATATAATAAGTCTGAGATATGGGCTCATTTTAAGTTTCAGAGGCCATGTCTAAATATCACTCCTTTCTTTTAAGTCTTGACCTACATAGGAAATGCGATCTAGGAACAAAAGAAATCCACTGAGCATTTTCTATCGAAATCCTATGCTTAATTTTCATTATAGGGGTCATGCATCAAGCCAAAAATATTTGCAAATAATCAAAACTGGAATCCTTCAGCGATAATCTTGACTGATTAAAGCATGAGGTTTGAAAGCTCATAAATTTGGGGGTTTGAATGTACTACTTATTAATAAAAGAAAGTGCTAAAATTATACTTTATCACTGTTATTACTCCTGGTGTCCAGATGACTTACTAAGCCTGCTCTGCACATCATATATTTTGCATAATCATTCAAAAACATGAACTCCTTTTTCCAAAGCTCAGCAATTTTTTTTTTTTTTTTTTTTTTTTAACAAGTCAGCCATCTCCCACCGAGGCAGGGTGACCCAAAAAGAAAGAAAAATCCCCAAAAAGAAAATACTTTCATCATCATTCAACACTTTCACCTCACTCACACATAATCACTGTTTTTGCAGAGGTGCTCAGAACACAACAGCTTAGAAGCATATATGTATAAAGATACACAACATATCCCTCCAAACCGTCAATATCCCGAACCCCTCCTTTATTTATTTATTTATTTATTTTCTTATAGTAGAAAAATTAGGAACTGGAGAATTGCACTCACAACAGACAGGTGAATATATCTTTCCAGTTCCTAATTTTTCTACTATAAGCAGATGTCATTGAGCTTTGGATAATGAGTTCATGGAAGTGTATATTTAAAGTTTTTTAATGATTGTGCATCATAATCATCTTAACTCAAGTGACTATGCCTAGTTATCAAGTATTGCTTTACAATCAGATAGGCACATTTTTTAATCAACTTCTTAACAGCTTGTTTGTGATGCATTAATGTTAATTATCATTGTAATTTATTGCCTTACAGAAAACCACTTCTTTTCCTTTCTGATGATCCCACAAGCAAAGGTTGGATATTTTTAGTAAAAAATATAGATAAGAGTATAGTCAATCCTGTCTTCTAATTCATTTTAAGAATTTAACTTATACACTACATTTTTTTGTAAGGTGCTAAACTCGTATATGTAGATACATAGCCATATTATGCTTGCATTTAAGACTCGGTTGGTTGTCATTGCCTTTATAAAATGCTGTGGAGTAAGTCTAGGGATGTTCCTTCTTTCATTAATGGTTACTTAGGTTGCAACCACACTGTCACCACTGGGTAATATGCTGTCTTTGCCACCTTTTGTTCAGTAATCTATATCTCACAAGCAGTCCTCTTGGTGCATTTAGAGAACACTTATGTCAATATCTGTGATCCACAACTCTTATATCTACCAACAGATATAAGAAATATTGCCAAAACAGCAAAATTGTGATAACTCTGTATATCTGCAGACAATGGGTAACAATAGCTTAGTTGATCAAGCAGCCAACAGGGAAGTTTGACCTGAAGACAGGCTGCAAGAGTAGAAGAATTCTTGAAACCAGTTATAGGTATGTCACAGAGGAGTGGTGACTACTTAATTCTGTGACAGTCAAAGATGCCTGTGATTGGTTTCAGTATTTGGATATGAGAGAGATATTTTTAAGCTATATAAGTGGCCGCAGCGCTGTATAGCCCTTGTGGCTTAGCGCTTCTTTTTGATTATTATAATAATAATAATAATATACAAGTGGCCAACCCTCTAATTAGTAAAATAACTCAACTTCAGTTGATGCTTGATAATTTTTAACACTGCATATAAGGGAGAGGTTTGCATGATATAAGGTTATCAGCCGATTATATCATTTTGAGTATTTTCATACCATACATAAGTATATTTGTTCCAAAAACACCTGAGAAAAAATCTGAACAAACACAAACCCACTACACCTACACTAAATTATCATATACCAGAGTTAATTATATTTTATAAAGTAATAACCAAGAAAAAATTTATAAAAAATATGGGAGAGGTTGATGTGAAAGCAGAGTGGAGACTGACACTCCTCATACCCCTAAATGCTACAGTATACCTTTACCTTTGATGAGCTCCGAGAGTTCTTGTACTCCCAGAGCCTGGCTGTTGGTCAGGCTTGTCTGGTGCTTGCCTGGTCAACCATGCTGTTGCTGCTGGTGGTCTGCTGATCATCACCTAATGCATATCATTTGTCATAAAGTTGAATGGACAGCCAAAATGTGTGGTGGGTGACAGATGAAGTTGTAAAGAGAGAGAGAATGTGAATGTGATGCATTCACTGCTGATGTAGCTGAGGGCAGTGAAGTATTTTGTACAGATCTCAATATACTTTATCCTCACAGTGTGAATTATGGAAAGGGAATACATTATACAGTTGGGGGGGGGGCAAGAATTGTACTTAATCATCATATTTGTAGATAAATAGTTTTTAACCCGTAAACAGTCCAAGCAGATCTACGTTCACATGTGTAGTGCTACAAAAGTAGATCTACGTTTTTTTACACATTTTCAAATGTAAAAAAACAAAAAGAAGATCTACTTTTTTTACATACTTTCAAATGTTGAAAAAACGTATATATACGTTTGGACCGTTTACGGGTTAAAGTATAAAAATTTTAAAATCACTGATAAAATAACTAAAAGTGCATTGTATAGTGTAGTAGGTACTTGAATATTAGACAGGCTTGTGTAAGTTCATTAAATCAGAGTGAATGGAGGCAAGTGGTTATTATGGCTTGATGTACTGTTAAAGTGTGAGCAAAGTAATATTTATGAAGGGATTCAGAGAGACCAGTTAGCTAGGCTTCAATCCTGGAGGAGGGAAATATAGTGTCTGCACTCTAAAGGAGTGAGGTTGTTGCAGTTTGGAAGGTCATTTGAGATGTGGTGCCAGCACATTTCTGGCAAGGCAGCAATTCAATAAATGACTTTTTTTTTTTTTTTTTTTTTTTTTTTTTTTTTGAGAATGCTGGTTTGATAAAAAAAAAAGTGAATGTTCAATGAAAAATTGAATGTTGCATCTTAACAGTGCATGTACTGTCCAGTGTTCTTCATTGTATGTATATTGTATAAGATCCTGAAATTTTTTATAGGAATAGCTTCAAAATGATAAGCAGACTTGGCAAAAATTATAGAATGAGCACAAAATAGTAAGATCAGTATTTATACACACATGTATGCACATGAATAGTTTGTGTGTGTGTGTGTGTGTATGAAGTTTGTGAACATAATTTGTCAGTCACCTACTTAAGGCAAGGAGAGAGACAACTGTATTAAATTAATAACAGAAACTGCTCGGCTAAATATTCAACACGTCAAAATATTCACATTTCAAATGCTAGTTGCACTAAAAGTTTTATAATTCCATTTTTGATGCTTCTTATTCGTAAACTCAGATTATATTTAAGGACCTTTACTAACTCTAGGCTGAAGATGCTGTATAAAAAAATTCTTGGACATGTATTTATTAGATTTTGTTCCCAATTTTGAATTAATCAGGTCTTAGAACTTTGTGTGAGGTTTCATGTAACTGTAATACAAGTTACATTTTTTCAGGTGTATGTACTGTACTACAGTTGCATATTCTAGATTAGGGCTAACATTTACCTCAAACAATTTATTTAACATTTCCTCATTCATTTATTTGAAAACTAATTTAAAATTTGGCAACAGTGCACGATATTTTCTCACTTTCATTTATGTGGTCGTCTTGGCAGTAGTTTGTTATTTATGGTCACGTCATGATTGTCTTCATTCTTAGATCTTCTTAAGATTTCATCTCAGCCTACATTCCGCATGAGGTCTGTTTTCACTTTCTGTAATTTCCATTTTTTGTCCTTTAATTCCATGTTTCTTTCATGACTCTATGTGCTCAATTATTTTTTTTTACTTTACCTTGGGTAAGACTTCTGTGTCATCTGCAAATTTGTTCATATACTGTAACTTGATATCCTGTTGGGTAATCACCCTGCCTCGGTGGGAGACGGCCGACTTGTTGAAAAAAAAAAATAAATAAATAAACATAACTGAGTACTCTGCTTATGGCACTTCACCATGGTGACAGTTTTTCCCGTTATCATTGTTCTCATTTCTTTTTAATATCCTTTTTAACTTAAAAAATTACATACACTGTAATAGTGCACCTTTTATACCTTCTTTATGTTGTTCAGTTTTTTTATTATTTTGTATACTGTAATCTGTTCTGTGGAAACTTTATCAAAATTCTTTTCAAATCTAAATATTTCCTGTACAATATCTAGTTTTCATAAAAAAAAAAGAATACTGTAAATTGGGTACATAAAA